TCTATCCATCCATCCATCCATCTATCTATCTATCTGTATTAAAACACTGGGCACCATATGGGATCGTGGAAGTTGAACCTGGAATGGAAAAAGAGTTCCCATAGGCTGTCCAGGATGTACCCCACTGGAGAAAGGCACTAGCTTCAATGTAAATGTCAATGTCAAATTTATTTGTAGCACATTACAAACAACAAAAGCTGACAAAAGTGCTTTACAGTTCAGTCAAATACTTGTATCAAACTTATCTCAGTTGTATCAGCTTTCTGTGACCATGTATAGAAAAATGGGTAAAAAATGGATGGATGGATGGATGGATGGATGGATGGATGGATGGATGGTACTTTCATGCTTACAAAAGGTCATGTAACACCACAGTCATGGTCTGTCTCCTGACGTTTTATCATTACCTTAATAAAATGTGAATCCAAAACAAGAAGAACTTGGTGGGCCCCAACAAAAGTACATGGATTTTATACATCTGTGCCCAGGTGCTTTATGTATCTTTTGTGTCGAAGCCATGTTGTGAAAGTGTCTTAAAAGATTGCCAAAGACTTTCTGGTAGTTTGACCGCAGGGATAACCTCTAAAGATTTATGCATGCTCACACGATTAAAGCTCAAAGGAGGGGGAGGACAGAGGCGGGATGTTGGGCAACCCAAAAGCAGAAAGACAATAGTTGGAGTAACAAAAACCTCTCAGCCTCTTTTTTAAATTGAAACCAGGGCACAAGAGTGAATGAAGCCTCTGTGCGTTTGTTAAGAGGCACACAGCAGCAGCAGCCTCGGCTGTGATGAAACTTTTGGGTAAATTGTGTAATCGCTCTCAGTGTGCTGTGAGCCAGCAGCAAGCAACAGTAGTCTGGCTACATTTTTACTCCACTTTCCCAAGAGAGTATCAGCCACTGATGAAGTCCAGCTCATAGGAGAATAACCTTCAAATTTATCCTGTCTATCCTTCAATTATCCCCAGTCAGAGAAAACTGGTGTTCATATGATCTCTTGGTGAGGAAAATAAACCTGACATTCTTTTTTTAAGTACCACTTCAAATTATATTAGATATTACTGCCTGTTGCCAAAAGCTGATAATGATTTTAATTGAATTTTTGCTTGCAAAATATCTCATTAAGTACCAGGTTTTAGCAAAACTCTCAGAAAGTAATGAGTAAATGTACGTCTACAACTGATTAACATTTGGAGGCAACGCAGTTAAAGATGGCTGCCATAGACAATCAAAATTTGTAAGCACAAAAATCACTATAACACAATCAATGTCCAGAAACAGAACTGAAATTTGGTGTGTCATAACACTGACTTTGAGCACGAAATTTCATAAAATCGTGCTTAATCTTATCCCACACAGCAAAATTTGTGTGGTCCAGAACTGGCCCACACAATGCGCTAACGCTCGGCCCAGATACCACAAAGAATGACGGCCCTTTGGTGGCCCATATGTGGTTTGCCAGAGGTGGTCCATGCATGGGCCAGCATCACATAAACCAAACCACAACCCGACAGTGGCATGCCATCCTAAAAAAAACAGTGCCATCATTGCCATCCCTGGCCCTCATCCAAACTAACCATCATGCCATGCCAGCAGTGCCAGCTTTCACACCTGTCTGCGGCGTGGATATGTTTATAGTCTCTGGACAACATGCAGAAAGTCATCTGAAATGTATCAGCTCAAACATGGGTTGGGTATTCCTCCTACTGTTTTTCTGTTCCTTTAGTCTGTCTCAACAGCACCGTTTTAAATTCCCATCTCATCAGTTGTTCTGAACACAGTTTGTTGAGTTGGCGTGAGTGACAGCTTGTGGCATTTTCTCAACTGTCTCCACCTGTGACAAACAAAAACATCAGGAAAACTACAGAGAGTTGCAAAAGGATTTACCCTCATTAGCATTCTCTCAAGTTTTTGTTGCCTTACAACTAAAATTTAAAAAAAAGTTTCGTATGTTGCAACTCTAATTTACTCACCATAACTACCACTTTGAAGATGCAAGATATATTTACTGTGGGAAAAATAAAACAAAACGCATTGAAAACCTGAGCATGTATAACTATACCCCTCCACTATAGGTTTTTTTTTAAATCAGAAAGCAATACAACATCTCTAATTGTATACATTGGAAGAATATTATGCTACTTGTTTTTAAGAAAAGTTTGCATTGAAAAACTTCTGTTTATCTGGGAAATTCTTCCTGGTTGGATCAGTCACAGAGCCCTATAACTCTGACATGTGTGCTTTGTCTGTTGTAGATAGGCATGTACCTAGAGTCCTCTTCTAAGTTTAACAGGAAACAGATGTTTTCTGACTGAAAGTGCTGCTTTATCTAGCTCCATTCAGGACAGAAGACAATGCTTTGCTCCTTCTCTAAAACACAAAACATGTAAAAAAAAAAAAATACAAGTAATTATAAAAACGTGAACATATTAAAAATACAAATAAGCAAGAAACAATAAAATATATTTCACTTACATTGTGAAAATGCAGGCTTTTTAACTACTCTACATTGATTGTGCTCATACCCATATAGTAAAATTCGCCTTGCCCAGTCCTGGCCCACACAATGCACTAACACTTGGCCCAGATGGGGTTTACCAGAGCTGGTCCATGCATGGACCAAGCACCACATGAACCAAACCACAAATGGGCCAGTCAGCCAATAGTGCCAGCTTGACACCAGATCTGGCCCTGGTCTGTTATATGGGTAGACCTGTTACACTCTATTGTGTGTTTGGAAGCCCGCTGTGTTCTGAACTGTGCTGCAGGGTTTGACTGCCAGCCTCAGGATGAGGACTACCTCAGACTGAGGACAGGAAACAGACACAGACAAACACAGAATGACAGGTCCAGGTGTCGAGAAAAAAATATGTTATTGATAAAAAATAATTAACAAACATGTGGAACAAACCAAATAAAGAAAGCAGCAGGAGCGAATAACTCAGGAAACCTGAGCCTAACTATAGGATTTATCAAAAAGGAAAGTCTTCAGTCTAATCTTAAAAGTAGACAGAGTGTCAGCTTCACGGACAGAAACTGGAAGTTGGTTCCACAAGAGAGGAGCTTGATAACTGAAAGCTCTGCCTCCTATTCTACTTTTAGAAACTCGAGGAACCACAAGTAAACCTGCAGTCTGAGAGCAAAGTGCTCTGTTAGGACAATATGGATGTTTAATATGACATAGAGCTCGGCTGAGAGCTTTGTTAGAATGTTTAAAATTTTATTCTTAATTTAACGTAGAGCTGAAACTGGAGAAATTTGAGTCAGTCACCAGTCATTCACGTGTTTCGTATCTCTTTCCTGTCTGTTCAAACCCAGTCGGTTGAGGCAAAAGGCTGCTCGTCCTGAGTTTGGGTCTGCTGGATGTTTCTTCCTGTTCCAAGAGTTTTTGCTTTCAACTGTTGCCAATTGGCTTGGTCATGATGGGAAACTGTAACAAAGTGATGATTCAGTGCAATCTGTTGGTTGTCTAGATTGTTTGTGAAAAGTGCCCCGAGACAACGTTTGTTGTGACTTGTTGCTAAATAAACTGAATGTAATTGAATTAATATGTGCATAAAGACCTCACTAAAACTCTCAAAGATGATTTTTTTTCTCTTTCATAAGGTCAATATCTAGACTCATGTTCTTCAAAGCAGCAGGACAAAGCTTTAACACCATTACAGTGATCTGTCAAAGCCTGAAGCCTCTGCAGCTCAGCCCAGACCTTGTTCTGAAGCTGTGCTGACACAAAGTGGCCGTGATTGCACATTACAGCCAACACACAGTCCCACAGCTGAGAGGGGAGTTCATTGTGGACTGAACTCAATAACATGTCAAATAAATACTAAACTATTTTATTTATTTATTTCATGATAAATCAAAGCTGTTCTTGGCAAACCTGAGTTGTCTTTTAGAGCTGGTCTCATAAAGACCATGTTTATTCGAAAAAAACTAATTGAAGTTCAAAGTGTGGTTTTGTTCTTGAACTTTGAAAAACAAAAATTTGAATTCAAAATAAAATCTGAATCAAAAGATTTTACTTTGCTTGATGGTGCAATTTCTATTTATCTTTAAACATAATGTTTGAGTTTTCACTAACAGTCGCCCATGAAACTCTTCAAAGTCTTTCTACATTTTTTAGTTTTTGTAAGGGCGTCAAACTAAAGGTAAGAACCGGAGGAAGTCTTCTGACACCGTGGTTTTCAAAATAAAAGGCCCCGGTAATATCTGGAAACATTTAAAGGCAGAAACTGCACTGTTTTTGTCCACCGGTGGAACAAAAACTGTTAAGAGGTTAAAATATTTTTAAAGGTTGATAATTTATACTCATTTCATTGTATTAAATGTAAAAAAAAAAAAAAAAAAAGATTACATTTAGAAAAAAAACTCAAACTTCATTCATTTGTGAGCATGTTTTCATTTATGTTCAAACATACTAAAATTTTCTCAAAATTCTTCTTTGAATAAAAATCTATTTCTTTGCAAAACGGGTATAAGCATGATACACAAACTTTATCTTTTCACCTAAATCTGCACTTTTTATCAATGATTTTGAAAAAGGAAGAATTAACTTTCCACTTTTACAGCCGTCCATATGTACAAAAATTGCTAAAAAAAAAAAAAAGAGAGCATAATATTTTGTACTGACAGCCTATAGTGGGCTAAAACAACATAAATCAAACGATCTTCTTGTTTGATAAACCACTGATGCAGCCCCGGCTCTGTGACAAGTAATTTCCTACCTTTCACAATAAGAGCATTTCAAACTCGACCTGCAGCCACAGAGAAAAAATAAAATAAAAAAACGTGGAGAAATTTAACCTTTTTGAATGCGCAAAAGTTTTTTAAGTACCAAGTAAAGCTAAATACATATTCACTTTAATTTGTATTTTCTTATAAGATAACACATTTAACAAGTTTGATAAGGCTGTATAATAT